CACTACTGTCCAAATTTGTTTTTAATAGCCTCATATTCGATTGCTCGATTTATCATATCCCACAATTCATCCGGATGCAATAAAATATCATAATACTATGCATCTCATTAAATCGATAATCATAAGTCATCTGGTAAATTAATTCTTTTCCCCATTCTAAAACTATTATTCAATAATCATGTTATAATCAGTTTTTCCTTTATACAGCTTTCTTTTTATACATGTCTATTTCCTGTATTCGAAAGATTTTTTTAGATTGTACTTGTTGTAAACCACTTCTACTCTTTCTATACATATTTAGGGCATGTAAAAGAAGGAATAAATGTTTTATTCCTTTGACTTCTACTTTATATCTCATTAAGTTCTCATTCCTATTTTTACTATGATTGTAAGAAATAATTTTGACGTCTTATTATCAAACAAGACAAATTGGTATCAAAGAATGCTAGTGCTTCCTCTTTGATTCCTGGCTTCTTCGGATGATTATTTTAATTTCTTTGAAAACAATGCTTGCCTTAACCGTTTTCGATTAGGGCATAGGCAATCAACTGTAGTAAAAAGAAGCATTCATATTTCCACTGTAAGGAGAGAGAGAGAGAATAAAGAATAAAGAATAAATCCTACTATTTGATTGTTGCAATGGTTAAATGCATCTTCGCTTGATTGGTTTAGCGATTGTGCGCAATCGTTGTCTTTAATGTGGCATAGCGTAGTAGTGAGGACCCTTACAGTGGAAATATGAATGCTTCTTTTTACTACAGTTGATTGCCTATGCCCTAATCGAAAACGGTTAAGGCAAGCATTGTTTTCTCTCAAGCGTTCCATTCGTTGTTTGAAGGTGGGATAGGTTTGATATTTATTATCCCAATTGTCCTTATTATAATAGGCGCAAGATTTTCTTGATTTGCTAATTTTCTTCAAATTTGTAGCTAACTTAAGATAAGGTAGAAGTTTCTCCACTAGTGGTTTTAGATTTGGTTTATATTCAATTTACTGAGTATCTTTTCACTCTCAGAGGCTTAACTTCTAGTTACTTTTTCGTTCCTCAGAACAAGTTTTTTGTTCCTCTCTATGTTGATTAATTTTATTTTAGTCAACAAAGGTAGGATTAACTTCAGGTTCGCGTGCTCGATAAATTACTATGTTTACAGTCTCTTTGGACTCATGGATCAAGTAAAGCTAAGTAAACGAAGAATCATTTGATTGAAAATATTTCGGACAGAACAATTTTTCCATTATGGATTCCTATAATGCAAAAATACTGGTTAATTTAACATATTTATTTGGAAATTATTTCGATTTCCGAAAGAAGTATGTTGCTCCTTATCTGTTTCATGCATTAATGGTGAAAGTTCGGTTTTTTCAATACCATCAATGATGAATTGTTGATATTAAAGAAGCCCTCAATATCGTGGAGATGTTGTTTTTTTAAATAGCGTTAATGAATGCACAGTTGAACACTGATTACAAATATGCAATCTATTTTGCATGAATGTGATGGCTATCACTTTAAATCTTATTTGTATCATCTAACTTCAAGGCTTGGAAATCTTGCTGCCAGACTATTTTTTCCTTTATAAGATATATTAAGAGAATTTTTATTAAGAGAATTTATATCGATTTTATTTTTCTTAAACAGAGATTAACTATAAAATGCCTTTGTAAGAAAACTCATGCGGCATTAGCAAATTATGAGATTTAGAAAGTAAACTTTGTAAAAATGTATTGTAGAATGTTCAATAAATAGAACTTCAAGACATAATTTTCATTTCTGCTTTGCATTTCAGCAAAAACTTGAGCAATTTACAGGAAAAATGTTTCAGTGTAAAAAAAACAGCATTTTTCACGTTTTCGTGGAAGAACAATCCGAATTATAAAAATTATTACGCAGGAATTATGAACGCATCATCGTTATTATTATGTACACGTAATAATAATAATGATATATATATATATGGTAAAAACGGATTCAGAAAGTAGCAGGAATTAGAAGGAATTAAACAGAGATTCATTCTTCCATAAACTCACAACGACAAACAAATTAGCTGTGTTGGAATTTGAGATATTCACTTTTTTTGAAAAAGCAAGTTTACTAAATTTTTTAAAATTCAAGTCATTTAAAATTTGAGAACATTTTAATGTATTATAAGTTTTTTCTCGTTTTTCAAAAGCACAGAGGTACGGAAATATAGAAAAATTAGCGTATTACTAGAAGAACAACAGTTATTATTGAAAGGCAATATTAATATTTTTCTAACTAACAGTGATCCATCCCTGATCGTTGGCTGATTGCTGATTTCCCGGGCCATCATTCTGAAAAATAAAAAATGACTTAGCAAGTGAATTAGTACAAATCTTTAATTGGAAATTACCAAACCAAACCCTGAGTTTAGTGAGAGGCATAGGATGGGCTTAAATTATAATTTTATTTTATTCTATCAGGTAAAAACAAATTTGGAAAAGTCAGTTATAATCACTTCAGTTTGGTGTTTAACTTTCTTGAGTCAGAATTTTTGATGACACTTCGTTTTCCATTATTATAATAATTGTAGGAAAGCCGAAGTAATCTTATAATACAAAATTTCTTGTATTATTAGATTTATGCCAATGAAAAGTTTTTGGCCAGGATATAAGATATGTCTGGAACGATTCATTTGATATACGATTCTAAGAATGTGTTGGGATTTGAGGTAATCATTTTTTTGAAAAGTGAAAAAAACAACTTTTAAAGCAAATCATTTAAAATTTTAGAACATTTTAACGTATTATAAGTTTTTTTTTTTAGTTCTTCAGAAGCACGAAGTACGGAAATATAGAAAAATTATCAGTAAGAGAACGAAATGGCTTAGATGACTCTCTTTCATCCGTTTATCAATCAAATGACCAGATGATTTTTGTGCATACCATTAGTTTTATCTATCAAATGATCTTTGATTTGTGCCATTACCTACAAATGACTGGTTGTCTAAATTACTATGAACAATACTCATTAAGCACCAAGTACCGCCCAACTCGAAAGGAATATATAACGTCTTAATTACTACCGTGGGAAGTTATCCAGCAGTCGGTGAACCAGTTGGTCAATTGATCAGTAGCCAAGTTGCTCAGTCTCAATTTCACTATCAACATCTTACTTAACTAATACCTCGATGAACAGAATCAATTATTCTCCAAATCAAAAGCAAAGAATAACAGACTTAAATATTATATTTTCCGATAATTGTATTATAACATGATGAAGAATAAACTCTCCACCAAATATTTAAACCTTCACTACAATCTGATTGTCTCAGATGAAGGTCTCTACAAAAAAATTCCACAACAATAATTTTATGAAATAAAAGATCTCCTCTTGCCTTCGAATGCGAATTACATTCACATTCATGGTATGCGAAAATGCTGACATGGAAACGATAATCATAGATGAGAATTTTTCCTTCATATATTTCAAGATCTTTTTGAACTGTTGAGTTGAAAAACGATTTCAACTTTTATTTTTTTTGCATGACGCATATATGGGAGGATTAAAAGATGACCTCCCGTTTTTTATTTTTAATTTCATGTTTTTACATTCCCTTTTCTTTCTTATTGTCAAATAATTTTTGTGAAGTAAAAGCTCGCTCTAATCTTGGATAAATCTTCAATTTCTCTTTATTTACTGGAAAAAAAAGAATCCTAATATTTGATGATTTTAATAAGAAAATTAAAAGGTAAGAAAAAATTTATTTCCTTTTTGATTTTTTCTTTACTATATCTCAAATTATATTACTCTTAAATTATGGTATTCTATAGTACACATAGATCTAATGCTACCAACAACAATGGAAAAGTAAATTAAGATAAAAAAGTTTTAATAAATTCTCAAAGGAGTTTACTTGATTATTCTGCTCGGTATTTCCTGCCTGCTGCATGTAAACATCAATTCCAGGCTGCGGAGTATAATGATTTGACTTTTTAGAAATGCTTTCACCATCCTCAATTGATTGATCATAGATACTTTTTGGTTGATTATTCTTGCCATCAATGCTCTGAAAGCAATCTCTGGAATTTGTTCAAATGTTTATTATTAAATCGGGAAAATAAAAACATGGAAGTAAAAGACTGAAAGTAAATCACTATCAGCTAGTTTTGATTGTATGTTTTGTATTTAAGCAATTTTTTAATGCATATTTAATCCCCCCAGTACTATTTTCATCACTATATTATATGCTAATGATAATGAATAGTGAAAAAATATTTTAATAAAAAAGCCTAATTTTTAAACACAACATCTTGCTTATCTTTCATAATTTTTGTCACAATCGTTCAATTAATAAAATGGAATCAAGAATCAAGCTAACCATTGTGTTTAAGAGACCATTGAATGTTTGACCACTGGGTAATTGCGAATTATAACTGTTTGGGTGGCTGCTAAATTTAGTTGCCGAAGCAAACTGTCCAATGTTGTTGCTGCTACCGAAAGCACTATTTTGTTGTCGTATATTTCCGCTTCCAAAATTCTGATAGGGTTGCAGGATTTCGGTGAAAGAATTTTTATGATCTACAGATGATGGGGAATATTGCTTGATTTGTTTTGAATAACTTGGTGATGGCACTGGAAGTAAAAGTTCATCTGATTATTACCGTTCAAAAAATCGTTATTTCCTTTTTCAAATACATTTCTTGTGTGTTTTTTGTAAAAGCCGTTAGTTTGCCATTCAAATTGAAATTACTATAAGTGACATACTCCCAGTAAAACTATTTACTACCGTCTGCAGCTGTTGACAATTTCTAATTTCAGAAATACTTTGAATAGTATTTGATGGAGAATTTTGTACATTTAATGCAATGACCCATGCCTGGGTTTGAAATTTGTTCTGAAAACATTGAATAATCAATAATTAATTTATTTTCTATTTCATTGGCTATTTCAGCTAATTGTTTCGATTTAGATAGCGTTTTTCACGCAGTACTTTTCTGAATCATAAACTTCGGAATCAAACATGTTTTATTCTATATGATGCGCCAGCACTTGTGCACATGACTTAAATAAATTGATAATTGTAATCGAACTATTAAGGCGATGATTATAGCAGTGGTATGCTTTACTAAATACAAATCAAAATGGATTTATGAAACTTACGCGGTATTTCCTGCAGAGAAATCCATTTCGACTCGAAATTTCGATACTGATCAGTGATCGGGTGTATAATGTCATCAATAACACTGTGTATCCCATTAAGACGGTCCCCATACTTACCATCACCACCATTACTACTGCTGCTCTTATTACTATTAGCACTGTTTACATGATTCAGGCCTGCAAAATTAAGTTAATGGTATTCTGTCCTTCTAAGATGTTAAAAAAATCAAATTTTCAAGGATTTACATACTAATTCAATTCGTTTAAAATTCCAATTTTCGATTATAATCGAAATTCAATATATATATATATATATATATATATATACTAGGCTTTTTTCTTCCATGCTTACTTGTCTAAGTGTTAACCCTCAACTTAAAATTCCACTTAAATTCTAGAGGTTGGTTAACCTTGATAATAAAGTTGTTGAAAATCGTATTCATTCTGTTTACCATTGTATGCAGCTGCAAAGGAGCGCCATTCCGGCACAAAAAGGTAAAAGCAATTACGGCGTATAATATTTAAAAATGTTTCCGCTCTCAGATAATCTCTTTCAATACCGAGCTCCGGTAAACAAAAATCGTAACAATCGTTGCATTTCTTCCCTGAATGAAATTTCAAAATTTCATGTCAACACTTTCAAACTGTTGCAGCTTTTACCGTTTCCATTAAATATTTGAGACTTAAATCTATGCCTTATAAAAATCCTAAGATCCATCAAATTTTGAGACTTAAAAAACTGATAAATTACATTTTATTACTTTAACTCGTATAAAACTTCTAAAATCAAAAATATACCTCTTTGATCGGACTTGGTATAATTAAGCAAAATCCATCGTGCACCATCACATTCAGGAATGGGTGGATTAAAAAGTGTGGACGAATTACCGAAATATGAACCAGGTAAGAAATTCCACGCTTCCTCCCACCCGCGAATTTGTTCCGTACGCTTTAAAATAATAGAATTGAGACGTGTGTGACTGATTCATATTACAATTGGACAATAAAAAGTAATCAAATGGAACCTTAGACAAATTGAACTAATAATGAAATGGGAAACAGACTTTGAAAGCATTCTGCGCACCAATTTCAAGAGAATATTTATCAGGCATTGTTGAAATATTCATATTCACCACAAAGCAAGCCAAATTTTTGCCATTATCTTTTAGAGTTGAATCAATTATTGCTATTCTTCTCTGTAATTCTTTTCTTAATGTAAATCGAAGAGAATATTTTCAATAATCCATCTTTTTATTTAGAAAGATTAGATTTTGAAAATTGCATGAAATTCATACTGACTACAGGCTGATGAAAGGCAGTCTACTTTTAAAGTTTCAAACAAGCTATTTGATATAGGGATCCCAGTGAATACTAATATCTGCAATGCGTAAATATGAAATTTGCTAGAATTTTTGGATTCATTTAACAATCGAACTAGGAAATGCTTAATGAATTACAATGACTTTATCAGTGCTTTTTTATACGAATCGATTTATAAATGTTACAAGAAGATCAACCATCGAAAGTGAAGAATAAAGGTTTACTTAAATAATTTCAATCAATCTTTCAAGAGCGTACTGAAGGTTGTATGGGTGGTGTGAATTCAACGAATTCAACCTAATCCCCATTAACAAGTCCAAATTATATTAAGCATCATATAATCTCACGTTTCAGACTATTTCATAGATCATTACACAAATAAGTAAATTAAAACCTTGCAACACCGACGAACTTCCTCAACTTCAAGTTCGAAGATATCCGAATAACTGACAAGTGATGAACAGGTGATTATTCCAAAACAAGTTATCAGTAATTTCTTTGCCTATTCATGATATTTATACTTTCCGTATAACATAAAAATTTAATGCTTGTAAAAGCAAAACTCACCACTGCAAAATCATATATAGCAATGTAGTTATTCTTAATCGGAAGATTTCCCAATACTTCGAATCTAACTTGATGATCATTCTGATACATTCTGACTACGGTCGAATTCCCCTGCTGGTTACGAAATATAAGCGGCGGTATCCAAGAAAACTTTCGCGATTCCCGCTAGAGGATTTAAGAATAAGATTCAATTTGAACACAACAATGCAATTGTACGCAAATGTGAACATTTTTAATTAGCTAAATTTTATTTTGGAATAATGAACTCTCTTGTATAAATTGCAATTCAATCTAATCTCACATCGCTGTAAACTACTTAATAACTGTGAAAAAAAATCTCTTCATCAAAATAACTAAAACAATCGTTTTAAAAGTTACCGTGTAAAATTTAATGGTCAAATGTTTATAAATATTTTTGTCATTATTTATAATTCAAAGGAATCATATCTGGTCAGATCATTCATTTCATTTTATCATCAGAACTTGGAATTTTGACATACTAATTCCGACTTGAACAAACAGAACAACTTTATCTGCCTTATTTTGTGATAATAGCCAATAGTTAAAATGCAAGGATGACTTTATTTGAATCTCACTTTTTTATTGAATCGACTTGAATTATACAACTATGCTTGTAATGGAACCGGAAACTATTTCTTATGTCCCAATGAATACATTCCGACCAACCGGTATTATTGAGATTTGGCGCCTTACGGAAAATTTTCAGAAAAGTTTGATGACTTTTTATGCATTGTTCTTTGATTTAAACAGAAGAAATAAGCCTTTTTAACAAAATTTTTTAATGATTAATATAGAGCATAACATAAAAAGAAAACTTTTAGGGAGTTATACTTTGAAAAAATATATACTTTTGATGAAATTTCAAAAAACGCATGACTGGTTTTCATTATAAATTTTTCGGGAAAATTAAAGAGAGAGTAAATTCCGGAACAGAAACAAAAGCTGTTTTAATTCATCTACAAAAAATTCGTTATGAGAAATGCAAAGATTAAACTTATTGGCAATAACATTTATATCGAAACTACTTACTTATCATTTTCAATCTTCTCATTGTTTTTCTCGAATTTCGGGAATTACTGATGAAAGATTTGGAAGATTTTTTAAGGCAGAAACTTTAAAAAAAAACTTACTGTGAATTGTTTATTGAGAAGTAAGATAGCAGCTATAATGCAGAACGTAATGATCAAAAATAATATGATAAATGCATAAGATTTATTCTTTGGTTTTTGAAACCATTCCCTTAATTCATTCATTCGATCGCGTTTCGAAAAATTTGTTGACAACTTTTTTGAGCCATTTAATTTATATAGTGATCCACAATTCTGAAACTGTACTTTAGAGGAAGTTGTGAGATGTGAAATATCCAGCGGAATTTCTTAGTATACTATATCCTTCAAATAATAAATTCTGTAATAATGTGTTTTGGAAGCCTTTCGTAATACAAAAGACTGGCTGGAACTAAAACATCAATCGAATAGTAATACTTTTAATATTTCTAGGAAACTGCTAATTTATGCAATGATTTAATTGACTGGCTAATTTCCGATAACTTTGGCACGATGGTAATTTGCAAATATTTCATTCGTATAAGCAGTTTGATTAAAATTATGGGGAATTTACACAGTTGCATTGATCTCCACTTTTGATTCCTCAGTATTCTATCTGTTACCATCCTTGGCCTAAAAGTTGCTATAGATAACTTTGGAGAATCTGCAGAAACATAAATTGGAGAGACAGAAGGAAATGGAAATTGGGAATTAAAGGCCTATTTGGCACTTCAAAATTTGAAATGACAAAAAATCTGATTATATGTCGGACATCGTATAATGGTGAAGTAAACAGTCGCATTAACCGACTTCTCCGTAAAAACTGGTGGTGAAAAAAAAAAAGACATACGGACACATGCTTTGAATGTTTATGAGAAGGAGAAGGAAGAAGTACTAAGTGTAGGTGTCAGAAGTGAAAAAAATTCTATACAGGAAGGAAACAGGTAAAATCAGATGACAATATTATGAACTGAATACTTTCACTTGCTTAGTATATCACTTGTATGAAAGGATGCTATAAATAGTGTATAAAAATATGAAAATTATAATTGGGTAGATAACTTTACGTAGTGGAATTGACGTGAACATGCAGATTCCCACGCACTTGTTTTTTACCCGTGCTTTCTGGGTGGTAAATAAATAAACTTCACAAACTACAAAATTCAAACTGAACTAAAACAATACTATTTTGTGACTATTTTTATCTCTATTCTATTAACTTACGTTATTCATGTCGTTTGCCTACTTATTTGTCACAAAAGTTAGATAAACACGTACGTAATGATGCGCAAATGTTTTTTGTTCCACTTTATAGCTTTTTCGTTCTAATTTTCATAATTTTCACGGTATTTTTAGCATCCTTTCCTATTTAATGTTCTAAAAGGAATACAAAAAAGCAAAAGCTGGAATAATCAGACAGAAATTATCTTTCACCTTTCGCCTTAATATTATCATACTCTATTTTATCGTATATTATTATCTTAACCCTTCTTCACCTCCCTTCCTCTTTATTATCGACTTCTCTTATCCTTCTCTTTCTCCCCTTCTAAATGCAATGCAAATATTTGTAAATTGTCCTTCTCGAGGTTGCACTATATAAACAGAAAGTTCCTCTCTCTAATATCTTAACTATTCGAAAAGTAAATTAATCTGTGCGTCGTATGCGAAGAGGAGGGCATTACCAGTCCTTAAGTATTACTGAACTAATTATGTTCGGAAGAAATACGTTGAGTTCGCTATTCAGAAGATTGAAAGTGCAAATGAGTTTGAACTGGCAGTAAACAAATAACAAATAAATAGAAGAATGGACATTCATTGTATTTTTCTTGTGCTTTTTTGACGGAAGACTACTCATTTATGCATGAATTAATTAGAGAAAAGTAAAAGGAAGCGCAAAAATGTTTAATTATTTAATAAAAAAACAGTATTGCTTTAAATATAAAATCATTATATATAATATTTTCATGAACTATGATATATGTGTGTCCTAAGCCCTACAAACTTTTTTCCATGCCTATAAAAATAGATGGAGTATTAAAATAGGGAAACGAAGAGAAGATTTAGGATTAATGAAATGCATTGATAAATAAGTAAATAACAGCTAATATAAACATGTAAATAAATTAATACCAGACCAACTCACTTCTTCATTAATTTAGCAGAAGTAAATGAATAGTAAAAGCATTGGTGACTTACAGTTAATTCCAATTTGGATATCGCAATTGGGTCGCCAGCAGAATTTAACACATAGAAAGGTGTAAAATGTTTTGCATATCGCCCATTTAAATTGTACTTTTCCGGGAACTGATAATTATTTCCGTAAATATTGCCAGTCCACGTGTAAAAAGCGGGCATTGCAATGTTGACGCAACCTGTTGTTGTTGCGTACAGTGGTTCCATATAATGTAGTAAATCTTTCTTGCACGAATTTTCATTACTTGCGATTAAATTTGTCCAAGAATTACGTCGTTTGATGGAATATGTTGGTGTTGCAACGCTGGATGATTCTGCAGTGCTAAATGTGGCGCTATCATCAGCGTTCGTCGAAGAACGATAAGATGGTGGAGGACCTCCTTAAAAAGAAATTTAAGAAAAGTAATTCCTTTTTTTATTTCCTACTTATTTTTTACATGAATACAAAAATAATGACAATCATATTACTGAATCTAAATTATGATAATTGCAAAAGACTAAAGAAAAGAAAACTAATTTGAAGTGATCACTTGGATGATTTTGTAGAATTTTTTATTAAAAAAAGAGGTTCAAAAAATACAGGATTTTCAACAGTAATCTTTCGTAGTAATTAAGTGCTTCAGTGAATTCTTAGAAAAAAAGAACGAGTTATAGAGCGCTTCAAATTTCAGATTCCACGGGGAGAAAATTTTTAAAAATCATCAATGGAGGACTGATACTTGATTGCCATTGCTGATAAAATCGCATTTCCAAGAGAATCTTCCCGTTCTCTGCCATGTCAACCCACATTCTACTGTCACGTCATACGTCGGATATCATTTAGTCAATAATATTTTTCATCATTTAGTCAATAATATTTTTCATCAATATTTTCATTAGCAAAAATAATAAAACATTTTAAGAAGTTCCATCATGTTGAGAAATGTGAAATTACCTGGGAAAATAGAAGATGAATTTCCAGCGATTCGAGGTTCAGCATCAAGTTGTTGAAAGTGGGTCGTTGTGCGCCCGATCTGCATAAATTTCTGAACAAACTTCATGATACCGCAACATTATCAACATTATCTATGATGAAAGCATGATTGAAGACGGACATGTGCGCACCCCAGCACTGCCGTGACATTTATCAAAAAGGAACAATATTTGTTGAAGCTCCTCGCGTATGAACAGAAGAACCGGTTTCTTATGGGATGTGACGCGGGTTGTGCGGGAAAATTCCCCCCACATATGATGGTAAAGAAGAAAGAAATGGCAGAGTGGAGAGAGATGAAGAATGGAAGAAAAGAAATCAAAAGAGCTTAACTCAAAAAAGAAGAGAAGGTTGAAGGGCAGAATTTTGGAAAGGATGTAATAGAGGGCAAGACGGAAAGAATGGAATTTTGGGAAGATCAGTATCTTGATCGGTCGAAGAATGACCTTCCTTGATTTGAGACACTCTGTCAAGAGTATACTCAGAATATCATCAGCTATACCATCAAACACTTTAGACATCCCACTCTCTCTTATTACTTTTGAATGGACATTCTACAACTACCTGTGCTGACCACTAGGAACTGAATGATACCTTAGCACATACCCTATTCACCTTAGATGACCTTAATCAACAAATTTCTTAGCGACAAAAATAACGGAACAATTTTGATTCGTTTGTTTACTATAAGTGACTACCACACACATAAATAATATTTCGTGGGAAGTAGTATGGAAAAATATATGGAAAAATAATATTTTTAAAACATGACAAATTTAGGTGTAATTTTAAAACCGAAATTTGTGGCAACCGGATAATAAAAGCTGTTTGTGAGCTTTTAGACAAAATGAAATATGATGATAAGATTAAAGTTCACAGGGTAAAATTGAGGGTGATATTGGAGGCTTTTCTTTGATAACCTGTAACTCTTTCAAATGAAACCAGGGAAACTTTTTTCTTTCCAAAATTACAAATCTTACAAGATGGAAATGAAGGATAGTAAAGACGGTCATTTAACCACTAGGATTAGACAGTTGATCCAATTCACAGTAGAGAACTATTGGGGTAAGAAGAGTTACACAAACACAAACAGAAAAACTATGTTAGATTTAATTTCACCACATTTCGCTGATCACTACAATCCATTTTTTTCTATTGGAGTAATATGTTACCGTAACTTACTCGGGAAATAAGAATACTGCTTTGCAAAATTGCAAACTTTTATCTTTTCTCTCATATCAAAATATTTTGCGCAAAGAATTGACCTTCTATCAGTTGTGGCAAACATTGAGCTGTTAACTGATAAGGCTGGAATACGATTACCATATGAATCATTTAAAAAATGTGAAGATTTGCATGAATTTGAGACAGATTAATTACAATTTTTTGAAGTGTTGCTGACGAGCAGATCAAAGAATTTAATAGATTTTGAATGGATATTTTCATTCGAACTTCAAAATTCATTCTTTTCTTTTTTCCCCCTCCCCTCAAATAACTACGATATCATTAATCATTAATCTTAATCTAACTTTAATCAGCTTGCAATAATTTTTTCAATAGATAGATATTCTATTACACTGTCTATTGCAATCAAAACCGATTCATCTGTATAATGAGGCGCGGAACAATTTCAGTCAATCTCAACGAGATCGAACAATCGAATTGAATTCTATTTAAATGCATAACATTGAGCTGAACTCAAGTTGACTAAATTTTTATCAATATTATTGTCAAATTATGCTCCGAAGGGAAACTAATAATTTTAAAATGAATTGTTGAAGAATGTAATGTATATTAATAAATTAAAATGCACAGAGTGCTGTTATGTATGTCAACGCTGAATCTGGGAAGATTCCAGGTGCATTTAAGTAAACAAGTAAACAGAATATAATTTCCAATGAATATTTAATTTAACTAGCACGATTTGGTAGCTTGTACAATTTGTGAACAAATCAAAATAAACTGAAATATGATCTGTTGGGTGAAACGATGATATTGAAAATATATTATTCTTACGAGCAATACCGAAAAGCCGACACTTCGCTCTAATTTTTGCTTATGATCTGTAAAAATGGGTATTTCTTCTGATTACTCAGACATCTATTACAGATACTGAGGAAGATTTGCAGTAATCACTTTGCGATACTCTTTGATCTTCAAAAAATATTGGTTAGACTTTCCAATAAATGATTAGCATATCAATTAAGTAATATTCATAAGATTCAAAGTAATGAAAAGTAATGAAGAAAAGTTTTGGCAAGAAGTATTGATATGTTTTTAAAGTTCAATCGGAAATTCTTCACATTCAATATTGTCCAGAAATTATTTAATGCAATGTAACCAAAAATTTTTTATTAAATTATGAAGTAAGAAAAAATTATGTAAGCCAGACACTGAATTAGAATTAATATTTTAATAAATGAATTTCTTTTGCTTTCCCATCTTTCTAATTATTTTCATGAATAAACAACTTAGTCCGTAAAGTTTCAAAATGTCCGATGTAATGAAAACTTCGATAGATTATTTAAGCTTAACTATCACTCAAAACTTCAGTGCCTTTAAAATAGCACATACCTGCAGAATTTACATCTAGTGGTAATAATTTCTGACGCTCTATTTAGATACATAATTGAGCAGAATTTATATATGCCATTTAAAGACACAATAGCTGGCAAACCTTTGATTTAACAATTTCCAAATAATTGTTTCAACACATAAACACATTGATAGTTGCTTCTTTTGATATAATTATAATATAATTCAATAAAGTTTGGAATAAGAAATCTGCCATCAATAGAATCATCTCACTTTTCTACTTTCTTAAAAAGTTATGTAGGTTTTTTGGCTTTTTTTGCTTCTTTTTGATATTGGATAGATATTTATCTCAGCTATCCTTCTCCACAGATGTACATCTTACCTGTGTATGAAAACAACTTATTACTATTTGGCAATCTTCAGAAAAAGTATTTGTTTAATTCGTTCAAGCTTGACACTGCGAGATAGCCTGAGCCAATTTTTTTAAAGTACACCGATAAGGTTGTTAGAACTTATAGGCTGACAAATGTGATGTGTCATGTTCAAAGTAGAACAAAAATGTCTGAAATAAGTCTGCAATTTGTGCCATTCTACTACTTCACAGTATATCATAGTATATCCATCCATCGAATCTCCCGAAACCTAATATGAAGCCAAGAAATATAGCGACACTTCCGGGTAGTTACAGGTGCCAAGTTTCAGTAGACAACTGACCGTTTTGTGATCTGAGGTTTATACTCGAGTTGCCTACAATCAAAATGATGGGCGTAAGATGGTGTGTGAATAATCTGAGGTAGAAAGTTTTCGGGATAAGAAAAGAGTAAAGTGTTGACGACAAATTTGGTCATTCATTTGATTAGGTCATCTGTATGATAATATAAATTGCTCCTTTATTTCATAACTTCCTCTAGTAATAGCTAAGCTTTAACATAACTTCCTTTAGTAGTGGCTTGCTCTATCGGGTTTTTGTGCTCTATATTAGTTTTTAAGTCAAAAACATCTTGTCAAATCTTTTAGTATCACTGCTTTTAATATAGTGTATATGGTAGAAATTTTATATACAGTTCTGTATACAAGATAATGTTGACTATTGTGATTGCTAGGTGTACAAATTTCAATTAAAATTTTTCTTTTTACTCTCATACCATTTCCACCTCTTTAAAAAAACGAACTCAGATACTCAGATAACATATGAAACTCAGATAATCTCAGATAACATATGAAAGATGGAGACTCAATGAGATACTTTTTGAGAATTGCCAGAAAAGTAATAATTAATGGTTTATTGGTTAATATTTATGAAAATTGTAGTCAAGTTAGATAGTTGAAGTACTGATGAATTATTGAGATTTTTCCATATTGCAATTATGGTACAGTTGTTCGCATAGATATGGAAATGAATTTTCGGACCGATGAAGGAGTTCGCTTTCGGAAAGTGAAAGCAAATTTTGGTATCGATGATGAAAGCAGTGAATTAGAGGAATCAGATGTTGTTGATCGATTCAGAGAAGAGGCGCAAGAAGGAAGCTCTGATATATCACCCTGTTCCTGGGAAGAACATGGTGATAGAGAATGCCTGGATGTGCCAAGTTTTTGGAACTACATATGGGGTGAACTTACGAGGTTAATCTCAACTTGCTCTCTGAAGCTGTTTGCTTTAAAATACAGGTGGAAGGAGAGTTCCTTTAGGATTTAACTAAATTGGGAGACCAAGTTTTCATTGTAAAGCATTGACATAGCACTAACATATCACATTATGAGTTAGTTTAATCAAAATTTCACGCCGATCTTTTCTAGGGGATATTCTCTTGACAACGATGAATTGCGTTATGCAGAAAAACAGAAAAAAATAAGTGCATTTTTGAGGATACCAATTGAATTAGAGAAATTTTTGTTTTATGGTACATTGCAATGTCTGGAAGCATTTTGCCACTTATCTACATTTCTGCCAATTCGTCTATTGGTAAGACTTTTTTTGAAGGATTTTTAAAGCACGGTAATATTTTCGCGCATTGAATTCATCATAGTCGGTTTAACAGTGACTACATTTAGATGGCTGGATGAAGTTGGAACGATATTACATATAGCTTGCAAGATTTGCATATGAGACTTATTACTTTTTTGAAAAGAGATTGGGATTAAAAGTGAGTCCCCAGAATATCTGTAGTATTAAATAAAAGATTAAATTCAAAATTAAGCATTATCAATTGCAGATGTCTGTTGTTGGTTCGTTATTATGTTCTAGAAAATGGATTGCATCCAATACTTGTGATTTTTTAAAAGCTTTCATTGTGACAATTTGTTCATATCTCATGACTTTGATTGATACATCGGTAATGTATCACCAGGTTATATTTTCGCTTTTTGCTAGTCTTCAACAAAATAATTTTGGATGTTCAGAAGTTATATTCTTGGATTTTGTTAGAATCTTGCATTATGCATTTCATTTTATCTCTTTTTGGATTATTAGAGCTGTTTATCTTGAAAGAGGGTGAAAGAAACAGTAGCTTGACAGAATTTCCTGATTACCTATATTTCAGTGATTTATTCTTTTTTTATTACTATACAGTTGACAGTTATTTTCTTTTCGATTTCGAATTTGGCGGGTTAACATAATAATGTAAAAAGTATTTTCAGCTGGTCCTTTTCTAAAACGTGTTTCAGGTTCGAGGCCAAGGTGTAATTAAGCTTTATATTTTTTATAATATGCTCGAAGTAGCCGACAAGTTATTTAGTAGTTTCGGTCAAGTATGTGTTTTATTTCTTTTGCTCATTTTTATAATTTATTACACGAGTACCGAATACTTTCAAGTCCATTCAAAGTGATGAATTGTAGGATATTTTTGATGCCTTGTTTTGGTCGAGTACACATTCGTCATCAAGTTATGTACGGATGTTTGTGCACCTATTCATTGCAGTCATTTATACTTGGCTACATACAATACTCGTCTTATTACAAGTATATTAAATGTTTATAATCTTTGTATTTTTCAACAAATGAAAAAAATGTTCTATGGTACCATTTTGATCTACTTTAATATTGCAAATCAAACCATTATATTGTGTCATTAGACTCATGAAAAATATTTTTTTAGCAAAATTTCAGGCTACAACTTTAAATGTAGCTTTTAATTCACATACGCAAGCATTGCTTGCTATAATGATGTCCAATAATTTTGTGGAACTAAAAGGATCAGTCTTCAAAAAATTCGCCAAGGCAAATCTTTTCCAGATGTCTTGCAGGTATTACTTTGCGGATTCTATGTTTCAGATTCTATTCTTTGTCTCAGGTTTTGTAATTTATATATTTTATACTATATGATTTATTCCAGTTAAGTAGATAAAAATATTGGTTTCATTTATTAATAACACTGTGCGAAGTATTTGGTGACCAAAATAAAAATTTGATAGGGATGAAAATCGAATTTACCTTTTAGCTTTTAATAAGATTATTTTATTGTTTGGAACTCTAAAAAAGTGAAATTTCCAGTGATGTCCGTGAACGCTTTCATATCTTTACTTTATTAGCAGTTGTGGTTGTACGAAATATGATGGCGGTTAATTGGAAATTCGAGCATTTCGTGGAAATGTTGCCAGACCTTGTTTGTTCGCTTTTGTTTATCATAATTTTAAAATTCGAAAATTACCGTATTCTCATCTCTGAAATGCTATTTTTTACATTCTCTCATGTAATGAAGGCATCATATCACTTTTGAAAAACGTATTTCTTTTTTAGGCCTTGGTAACGATTGCTGAAATAATCGTTGATTGGTTAAAACACGCTTTTATCACTAAGTTCAACGAAATACCAGCAGAGGTATATCAAGGTACTGATTAATGTAATTTTTGAGGTTAATCAAAGTTTTTCGTTTCATACTTCGATTGTTAAGGATGCAGTGTCTTTCACCCGAATTTTCTTAACTTCTGGTAACTGTTAAGTAGTAATCGGAATATAAAATGAAAGAAGCTAGAAGGGATTGAATTTAAGATTAAAGTGTAGAGTTTAAGAGCTATGAAAAGTGAATGTATTTTCAGATTTTACAATAACAATTGCTTTTGATGTCATTCGAAGTCGTGGAGAGAAAGCCTTTTCAGATTATTCAGATCAGGTATCAAGACGAATGGGTTTTATACCTATTCCATTAACAATTTTGCTGATACGCGTTATTACGCAAACATTTGATTTCACCATTACATCCGTGCAGCTTATTTTTTGTGAGTTATTTTTGATCGCAAGCTTTAGAACATCTCTTCTATTTTTAATTTTATTAGTGCTTTTGGATAGATTTGAACTTGTTGAAAGCAGTTCCGTTATCATGTTTATTAGGTTTTCGAATATTTTTAACATGGGTATTAGCTTTCATTACGTGCATTCTATCTTTTTTAATAACTAAATTGTAAACCAGCTAGTTTTATCTCAAAAAAGTAATTAATGCGAAATTAAGCTATTTAAGTTCGCTCTTTTGCTCTTATTCGGCTGAATTCTCTTTCAAGAATGATAACTTTCAGTGCTCATGTGAACTTTTTCTAGTCGCATGTTTAGATTCGTTGATATATATACTTAAATGGAGTTTAGAGCAATTCCAGGTCTCACATGGCTTTTGTTATTGACATTGAAAATAGTAAATGGTATCGTTGTGCTTGGAAAAGCATGTGGACATGTGAAACATTATCGTGAACTTCAGGAAAAGGCGGAATGTGAAATCTTCCGGAGAAGAGTGCTGATGAAGAAAAGTAAAAGTGCTCCGAATTCACCAAGAATAAGTTTAATTGATTTCAGTGGTGAGTTTATTGTTTTGAGTTTTCAAATCTATAACTGCGTATTTTCTTGCCTGTTTTACACTCTATTTGGAAGAAAATCTCTTCATGTAGAAAATATTTAGCAGAAATCTGCTAAATATTTCCTACATGAAGAGAGAATTAGACAGCAGTTTTTCAAACCGTAACGATTATCTCATTATGAATTTCTTCGATTTTCTTCTATTATTGCATTTCTAATGACCACGGTTACTATTTAGATGTTCTTCATCAGCCATCATCAAACAAAGGTTTTACTGTATCAGATCTAATATCCCATTGGGATGAATTAAATCAAAGTGTGGAAACTACTCCCACTCCAGAGCCGCGAAGGACAAAATCGTTGGCTATTTTTAAGTGATTATTTCTATCCAACAGCAAAAGATAATTATGAATAATTCGATTATTTACGTATTTTCTTAGACTTTATTTTTACTGAATGGAAACAAATCCTGTTATCTGGAATTGGGAGCCATAAATTAATGATATAAAGAGTAATATATCAGACTGTATGGTTTCCATAGTTACCAGGACTGCACTGTGTTTAGTTCTCTGAGTGATATGAACGCAATCGGCTAAACTATTTCTGTTCTTTTTTTTTTCTCATATTTTTGCGTAGATCTCATTTTTCACAATCTTGATAAAAAGATATAGTGAGTTGATCATGATCACAAACAACGTTGTTTTGTTTTTTTCTTGCAAAGATCATTTAGTCTTATTTCCGTGTTATGGGCGATTTAACATAATTTCCCTTTTGCATATTAACAGAATGTTAAGATACTAGATTTTCTTATGGATTTCTTTTTTTAATTGTGAAGTACTTCAAACAAAAACTAACATTTCCAACGACTTCTACCTTTCGCTTTTAATAAAAGTTCCCTTCGTTAATTAACAAAAACATTCTAATCGATGTTCACATAAATAAAGAGATCTTATTTTACTCTCCGACTTATTCCAATCTTGTTCTACTTGTTATCGTTTCCATCTCTCCAAAACTTAGCTTATTAATTCTCGATCTCAGAGTTATTCAATTTTGTTTTAATAAATGCTTGGACGCTGTGAAGATTGTGGACAAATTCTATCAAAAGCAAATTAAAGCGGCTTTTAATTATTTTATGAATTCAGTGTGTCTCTTTTTACAGATCTCGAAGAGATAATTCGTTGCCATCTCATACTGCTAATGCTGAGAAGGACGAAAAGGAAGATGTGTCAGAAGTCGCAGATCAGTCAAAGAATACTCCGAGGAAACGCACTAGAACTACTGGATGTGAAAGTCTTTCTGATGTTCAGGCATATACAATGCTTGATAATGCGACGGAACCTATGGAGATACAATCATGATATTTCATTTTTTGGTTTTATTTATGGATATATAATTTTCTGGATGTAAACTAAAAATTTCACAAAACTTTTTGCATTATCTCTGTTACTTAGGAACGACATAATTTTCTTAAATCAGGATCTACTCTTTCAATTTTAAATTAATCTGCTGTGAAAAATCCGAACAGAATATTATGAGAGTTTGATGTGTTTTGGTGTTTTTGCCTTTCAAGAACGTCGCTTTCCAATAAAATTTCTTGATAGTTCATATTTTTATCTTTTTTTTTAGCATTTAAAATTATTTCTGATAATTCTAAAGTTACTTGTTACCGAGTGTATTTTTATGTGTTTCATTTCATAAACAATTCAGAAAAACATAAATGTGTCAAACAAAAATTTAGATAATCTGGATTGACAGATATGGATAAAATAAGAATGTAATTTTCGGTTTAACTCATTTTAAACTTATTTTAAACTGAATTTAACTCATTTTAAACTGAATAAATTGTTTTCTACATAACGATTATTAGTCGTTTTTTCCTGTAATTTTCTTTTTAACAGTAATTGCTTTTTGTAAATTTGCAGTTGTCCGTCAGCGGTTATTCTTTCCCTGATTCTGCAACTTTTTTGCTTACATATTGCAAACTTTTGTATTTTAAACTTTATGTAAAATGAGGGAGCGTGAGTAATTATTTTTCATTTCGAAATTAGAAATCAATATCAAGATTTGCAGTTTTTTCCAATGGTATCACTTCCTTCAGTGCTTTTTTATAAGCATTCACTTCAGTGTTATGTGTTGGGTTGTAAAGCCAGCGAAGCTGAAATTGTTTACTTTATATTATATTGAATTGTTAAGGGTGGCCAGAAGTTCCGAAATTTATCTTTGGAATTACAAGATCTTAATGATCACGTCATATGTAAGAATAAAGAGTAAATCTGATATATAAATGTGTTAACATGATTTTGAAGTAAATTAAATGAAGATTAGATTATTTGCCAGTTGAGGGATGATATTAAATAGGAAAATATTTTTACTTTCAGAAATTTCCAAGCTCCAATTCTCTGTCTTGTGAAGCTACACTGTTTTCTTGTTGCTTTGGAATCGCGCAAAAGAGCCGAAATATCCTTCAGTCATAAATATGTAATTCGAAGTACTTAATAACCAGATTTCTCGACTTAATTTTTGCATCATGCTTTTACCAATAAAAAATTTTTGAAATCTCCTATGGTAAATATTTGAATACCTGATAATATTTTTGATCAGCTTCCGGCCACTGATCGAATCCTTCCGGTAGTGTTTCTCTCTTCTTGCGCCGTTTCGAACCTGATGATTTGGTTCGCGATCGCTTTGTCTAGAAAATTCAATATTTGTAAAAAATATGATTATTTATTTTCAATTATGTTTAAAATATTCTAATCTGCATTACGTGATTTTTCACCGAAATGTAAAGTCGCTTGTTCAGCGTCTAATTTAGAGGCTTCAGTAGTTAATTTTAAAATTTAGGGAATTAGGAGTGCAGAAGTGGAGCAGTTATTTCCCATCAATATATCTTTAATATATTTTAAGAATTTACCGATCCGCTTTTTCTTTCACCTGCTGTGGAAGGTTGTGGTGGTGTCGGTGATGATTGTTCGACAGGTGTCGTACTTGCAGTTTCGGCTATCTAAACTGTTTCTTGGCTACTTTCAACTAATTAGGGACGAGTTACTTAGTGATTTAATCGCTGATAATAAAATTGTGGACGCATTTACAAAAAAAAAAGTTACGTCCATTAGATTCATGTTTATCATAGTTTGAAATAATTAAATACCTAAAAGAACGCTCCAGGACTTTCTGATCATAACTACCAATGCAATTGATAAGGAACCTTATCTGTCATTTTAATCGACGACCGAACAATTTAGTTGTATTATATGAAATGAGTTTAAATGTAATTTTAAAAGATTAAATATATCTTCCGACGATAGCTTTCTCTCTTTTTTTCTCCTTTTCTGATTTCCAGTGAAGATAAGCCTTAAGCTTGACAAGGAAGTCGATGTGAAGATGAAGAAATGAAATGTATGGATCCACAGCATTTGTGCTTAACGACAATATAACTTTCCGTAAAAGATCTTCCAAGTATAATTTATGAAAAGTGATAATAGAAGATAAAAATGAGGAATGTAATGTGCTGACAAAAAGTAAATTGGGATAGACAAGAATTATCAAAAGTTGAAAGAATTTCAAATTCCTATAAGTGCCTTATATTAAATGAAAAGTTTAAATGATAGCATTCAGTTAACTTTGTTACCATAGCGATGAGAAATGCTGTAATTTTGGATTCGTCGTAATGTTGTTCGATTTTGATGCAATCTTTTAGGACCTAATTTAATTTTTTTAAAATGAAGTCCCAACTCGGCATTTATTCCCTATTACCTTATTACAAAAACTGCAACATCGTCTAAGACTTCTGCAGCTTCATGTAAAATTAGAAAATAGTGGTTTTTATAATTATGTAAACCGATGATCTTTTTAGATTTTCGTTTTGCCGAAGATTGCTTGATGTTCATTCAATTTGTTAGTTATTTCATTTTTTATAATGATTTTATTAGGAGATGATTTCAGAAGATCTTACAATGATTCCCATGGATCCAAAACCATTATCTGAAGATAGTACAAAAGGTTTGAAAACGTCGGTACATTTTTTTTTTAATTTATTGCGCGAACTCGTACAATTTTAATTATTTTGGATTTTGAATTGCTGAAATGAGAATTTTATATTTTCTTTCTGTGCTGTACAAAATATTAAAAGACGTATAACATTGTCCGATTTCTATTATTGAAGAAAAATGCCGGCTTAACGATTCACGAATCAAATGCGGTTATAAATGAAAGTTTGGAAGGTTTAAAACCATTCTGGCAGAATTTGAAAAATGAGGTCAGAAAGATTCATAAATGTGACATGACGATTCCAAACCTCACGAAAGACCTTTATCAACGTGAGAAGCAGGTAAAATTCATCGATTGCATAAGTTATTACTCATATTTAAATATTATTAGCAAAATTTTCTCCCTATCATGGCCATGATCCCATATTCTGATTAACCTATTGCAGAAATTAAAGTGATGAAAGGCGTTTTGTTCTTTAAGTTAATTTTGTTTTCTCCAATTCTTTTCCTTATTTTCTTTCCCTTCGTAAAAAGGTTTATAATAAAATTCGTAGCGAAAATGTTCCTCAGATTCTCTTCATCCCGATAAAACTGTAATTCTCTCATAAACATTTTATAGCAACTGATGACTTCTTTTTCTACTTTCCTATTTAAGTAGTGCGTTGTTGTCATTCTTTAAATGGTGTTTTCGTGACTTCAAAAAACTGAGAAATTTGATTTTCATCCCTCAACTAAATAAAACTATTATCCTAAATTCCATCGAATCAAAAAGAAAAAATTTCATTAATTCTTACCCTTATAAAAAGCTCAGAAAAATCAGTGATAACCTAAGAAATTGTCTGTTATAATTGTGTGTTGATAGCAAATAACTCAGTAGTCTTAATATTGAGCTTGATTTCAAAGCAAAGAGAGCCATGAAGGAAGATAAGCGATTTCAAGAGTTAGGAATTGAAACAATTTATTAAATACTCTTCAATCTTACAGTATGCTATTCAATATGATGATGTTCTGTACAAATTATTTTTTCTCAAATTTCAGTTATTAAACAACAAGCTACACGCAATAATAACAAATGCTCGTATCTATAAGGTTGCAACAACGCAAACTTCTCCATCGGGTGAAATGATAGTGGCTGATGATCCGGATTCCAGATCACCGATAACTGAAGAACGTATCATTGATCTTCTAAACAGACAAGATTCTCAGTTATCAATTGCCCGCATTTCGGATCTGATTATGCAAAAATTGACAATTGCAAAAACTGTTAAAACAGACATGAAATTGTTTCGGAGAAACATGAAGGATGAGAAATATGCAACCGTTTTAGAAATAACACAGTACAATTCATGATTTGAAGTGAATTCTACGCTTGCAGTTTAAGATTCGAAAAATGAAAGAGGCGCAGCGTGACACTTGGAGAAAATAATAGAAAATCATATGACACAACTAAAAAGTGTTGAATGTCAAAATGATTTAAAAATAAAACGGATGAAGGACTACCTCAGACGAATGGAAGTAAGTGATAACCTTATTATTGTATTAATAATTCTGAAAACTTATAACTACACGTGGTTACAGCTGAAAGCTGGAATACTCATTTTAAAAAATGTTGAATTTTTCGCTCTAATTATTTTCAAAAGAACATTTTAAATTATCATTTCAGGAAGAAAAAAAATAGTGAAAGATAAGTTAGATACTTGTGAAAGGGAACTGCGGAACGTAGAGGCAAATATCATAAAAGTGGACGCGGAAAATCGTATGCTTCACGAAGAAAACCGAACACTTAAACGGAATCTGGAGAAACGACATGATGCGAATCAAAATCTTCATGTAATTGTGGCTTTGACTTTTTTGATAATAGTTATTGGATTTCTTTAATAAGAAGTAACAGTACTATTATCAAATGTATTCAATTAACAGATCATTAATCTAAATCCAATGAGATTATTTTATAATTAAGATATCATACTGCTAGAATATTTCCTACTTTTAGAAGAGTGTGTTACTTGTCAGTGAGCTTAAAGACAAACTCAGGAAGTCAGAAGAGGCAAAAGAAGTGATTCTGCAACAATTTCACCTCTTAGAAATGGAACGTGATGAACTTATGGAAGCAATTTATCAGGGAATACATGAAGTGAGCCATCTACCAGTAATTTTGCTTTGTATTTTTTTATCACTAATTTCTGCGGAGAAAATCAAAATTTCGAGATACTGTTACAATCAATATTAATAATTTAGGTGGAAAAAGTAAACCGTCTAGGTGACAAGTTTCTGGCATCTGAAAATACAAAAGCAGAGGATCAAATTGGAGAACAAAAGTACGATACTGCTATTTGAGTCCCCACTTATTCTGCGAAAAACTTTTTGTAAATACAATTTTTATTATGCGAAAAAATGCAACTCTTTTCTTGAAGATTCTTATTCACAATCTTATTAATAACTACATTTTGAACCAAAAAGCTGAATACATATACTATCAGACAATTGCAGCGTTTTATATTTTATATTTGTTCATTTTCAGAACTCTTTATGTTCACTTCTGAAAATGACGCTAAATATGAGATGAGCTGCTTCATCCCCCAAAAGTTTTCTCGTCCTGTAATTAGGATAATGAAAGACTCATTTCAAAAGCCGTATATAACTTCCCTCAAATCAGTCCCGACCAAACTTTTTGAGAATGAATGCGAAATTAAAAACTTAGAATTCGTTCTCCTATTTTTTACAAAAACTGCAATATATTCCTAGCTCAAAAATGAACTCTTAAGACCCTGTTCTAGAAGCCAAACAATGTTACAAACACTGAAATTAATGAATACAATGACTATCACCATTCCAGAGCAATGATTATTCTCATTATTGTACAAAATATGTGATAAAAATCTATTAAGAATCTATTAGGTGGAACAAATGCCTCCAATACACGTCAATCATTCTTTTTCTTTTGCTAAATATTAACCACCATCGCATTAAAATCGATTAAAGTCAACCATGAAACTCCAATTACTTGGCCGCTTCACTGTGAATGTCAGATAAAATAATCTTATAAACAAAGTTTTAATCCGTCTTAGTCAATTAGCAGCTCATCATTGCGGATGTGGAACCTTCGAATGAATTTAATATTTTTTTAACAAATTTAATAAGTGGAAATCCATCAATAGAATGTGACAGTTGTAAAAGACAAAGTGTAATTGACACTTAGATGCACAGTGTAACTAGTTAAGCATATGCCATATGTGTATGAAATAAATGCTTTATGATTGGCACGAGATCAGTGGAAATTAAAAATTAAACAATAGAAAATGGACAGCACAAAAATCCAGAGAATAAGAACCAAAGAAATTGAGCAACCAGTTGCAAAATCATGAGGCATATCTCCACATTTAACTATATCTCCAGCAATTATATTGTTTCAGTTAATACACAAATGACTAAAATCAAACAGTATTGTTCACATGAAATCAAACGACATAGCAATTGTGATTTAAAATCTAACATTATCTCATTAAAATGATGATAAAACGGTTACGGCATAGAAAGATCTATTAAAACATGTAAATAGTTCCAGTAATTGCAACAGTCCACCGTGACATCTTTTTATTTACAAAAACCATTCAAGATTTTTGGATCCAAGTTAACATCTCTTAGAAAACGTTCCGTTAAATAACCTTCAACATCAAAGGGCACGAAATCTAAAACAAATCTCTGTATTTGACAAATAAAACTTGCTCTCAAAAAAAGAAAAATATATGTCTTCTTATCAGGAAGCGAATATGAGAGAGGTCAATGCAGCAGGATGCTTTGTTCCAAAAAAAGGAAAGAACACGTGCCATTCAAGAGGACCTCTCAACGATCAACGACGTCTGGCAACAGTATTAAATGCAATTTCTGAATCATTTTTATCAGCAAAGAACGAGTGACAATGGTTGCAGTAATTATTCCACAAGCTCTACATAGCCATTAATCAAACCATTCAGCTTTGCTTTGCTGATTACTAATACGGTTTAAATTTACGAAGTGAATATTTGAAGCAGCTTAATTATAAGTCAAGTATTTCGAGTATAAGCACCATTACTGCTAACTAATTTCAAAGAGTACGTCTCCCACAACCATTTCTGAAATTCAAACAGAAAAATGACCTTCTGGTAGCTGTCTCTTTGGTCGGTAATGCTTAATGGCTTTATCGGGACGGCCATCGGGAGTACGAAGAAATTCTTCGGTTACTGAAATGCAACAATCAGAGCAGAAACAAAAACTGCTCTGTACAATATTGATATCCTTTTACAAAATGTTTCGCAAGAAAGAACGAATGACTCAAATGATACATCTCATTTTTCTGTCTTACACTAACCTTTCATTAAAACAGACACTGTTTCCATATTTATACGTTTCGTAGCATCTGGTGACATGCGACTATGATTTCGCTTAGATAATGCTGGGATTTGTATATTCCTGGAACAGTAATTTTTCTCTTTTTTTGAAATAGTTTTAATGAATATGTGTAAAATATCGAAGCTCCGTTTCGTTCCAAATAACGGAAGATGATAGTTATTTCCGACAATTTTACACAAAATGTTTGGTCAGCTTTGGTGAACAGATGACAACGAGTCGAAATAAACAATATTTTTGAAATTTTTTCTTCACCAATAAAATTTCTGAAATCTTAGGCTCATGAAATATTTATATTAACAACATACATTTCATTTCTGCACGGCTTCTCACTCTCAGCATCACATTGATTCAATGATCTTTCATCTGAAAATATTCTTATTAAAGTGAACAACATGAATAAGAAAAATAACCTCCTACCGGTTTAATAATTCTGCTACTATTATACTTCAGCCTCGTAGAAAAGACGGTAAACTTATCTATGTGAAGACTTGAAAAGCGAAAGAAGCCCTAGATCTTAAGAGTAAAAATTTATAATTATGTCAAGTTTCCCAGTTGAAACAACTAACAAATCCCTGATCGAGCAGGAACATTTCGACGTCCATTATAAACCAACGTTGAACGCGATACTGCCGATGAATGACCCACTTTATACATTCTGAACTATATACATATCTATGTCATGATAAAAAGTAATCATACAAGCTGTCAAAACAACACTATCATATGCCGTGCGTGATTTACAGATTCTAGACTTTAAACTATTTCTCCCTATAATTTGAGTAACCTTTTACAACTTGCCTCAATTACATAACCACTTTCCCGGATGCTACGGAAGGAATAGAAACTCTTGCAATACAGTAGAATGGCCAAGATGCTCGCTGATAAAATAATTAAGAGTTCCTATCTAACGTGGCCCGTTAAGAAATGATTCTGAAATTCGTTATAAGTTATATTTATTCGTTCTTTCCCTTTGCGGATAGAGCCCAAATTCACGTTGTCTTCCTTGGGAGGGTGGAGGAATCCAAATTCGTAGTACTGAGATTGGAATGGAAACATTTTCCTTATCCTCACGCTTTCCAATTCTTTTCTTTATTTTTTCTGCAGAAATAATAGCTTTGGTTGGCTTAATCTCTTTGAAATATTAATTTTCAATTAATATCCGAAATCAGACTTACACTCACAGAAATAGGCAAAGAGAATGGGTAGAACTCGATATCGCTATGTTGAATTATGTATAGAATTATGCACATTAGCTGACTAAAGTCTACTACTGGTAACCAACTTGCGCTCGTAAATAAAGACCGATTTAGCTTGCATCATCCTTCAATACGGCTGAATTTGCCCCGAAAGATACCTGGCCCATTGGAAACTTGTACCTTTCAAGTGGAGAAATCAGTGATTTTTGAACGAGCGCAAAATGTCTCATAGTTGGTGTTTATGGATTTTTGAATGTCAGCTAACACCTGAAATGGGTCGCGATTGGCTTTTCACGGAAGAACAACTTGCAAATACACCTTCTAGAAGAGATGGAGTTGATCGCATCGAAGAAGACAAGCTGCGAAGAGAGGGAATCAAACTTATTGTCGAGATTGGCAGTGGTTTGAAATTGTAACTGAAAACTTTATGAAAATGTTTTGCAAATATTCAAATGATACTGGCAAATCTCCGCATCTTCATGGTTTTCAAGACTCGTGGCTCACAAAATTCTGTTCTGAAAGATTGAATCTTATTTGGATAGATCAGCTTATCAGCGGCTTCATTTATTTCTTATATAATTCAGATTTTTAGTTTGAGTTTGAAATTTATACTTTAGAAATTTAATTATTTTAGGCAACCAAATCCAACATTGGCAACAGCAGCTGTTTATTTTCATCGTTTCTACATGTTCCATTCCTTTAAGGAGTTTCAGAAACATGTAAGCGTTTTGCTTTTCTTTTATGTGTTATCATTGCAAAAGATCAAAAAATTATTTCCGCGAGGGATCAGACAACACTTTTGGTCTTTTATGATTTTTGTCGTTTCAACTTTTGAACAAATAAATCAGTGTCGAAAACAGAATTTGCGAAGACAATTTATTTTATCATTTCTTCATTTCATATCTTTGTTTCATACTTTCTTTGCGTGAGTCATCAGCAGTGAGGTATTTATTTTGTTGAATCATATAGTTTAAGTTGTAAAGCAGATTTCAGATCCCATACGCTTCTATGCATTTTCCAAGGCCTAGAAAATTCATTTTTTTTAACTGGTAACTGGTGTAGATTTCATCGGACCCAATGCTAAAATCAATGATGCCAAATTTCGAATGTAAATATCAAGTTTCGGTTATAAAAACTCATTTCAGCTAACAGCTTTGGGTTGTTTATTTTTGGCTGGAAAGGTCGAAGAGACACCAAAAAAATGCAGAGACATTGTACTGATTGCGAAAGAAAAGTACTCCGACTTGTATAGTATGAAAAATGCAATTGTAAGTGATTAAAGATTGTAGTGCGAATAAGGGAATAGAGTAAGAGTTATTATCGCGAAGAATGCTGCGCTAAAAAAAACATTAAATTTCAGGAGGAGGTAATGGGTATCGAACGAGTTCTGCTACAAACAATTAAGTTCGATCTTCATGTGGATCATCCATACACGTTTCTCCTGCAATATCAGAAAGTCAAGTTTTCGGAAAACAGATTTAATTTGATTCTCGTCTACAAAATGCCTTAAGAATGTGTTTTTTGGATTCTTTATTATTAACTCAGATATAACTTTCTGAAATCCGGTAACTCACAGCAAAGTTTCAAGGTTTTCAAGTTGGATCGGGAGAAGAAGCAGATGGTATTGCAGAATGCATGGACATTTGTCAATGATTCAATATCAACAACGTTATGTCTTATGTGGGAACCAGAAGTAGGAATCGTATTGTTTTGGTTCAGTGGTACCATTATGTAGTTTAATTCATTAGTATAGTCAAACCTCTTGTATAATATTCTAAAATTTTAAATGTGATAGTTAGGACGATTAAGATTGGATGAAGTGATATTGAAAGTTAGTCGTGTGAATTGCAATTAGTCATTGCAATGTTGAAATGTTTATGAAAGCTTTCATAGCATGCGTATGCAAGAATTAAATATCTATTTAACTCTTTATGACATATTGCACTATCCTCTACAATAACTTTCAGGTGATTGCTATTTCGTTGATATATATGGCTTTGAAAATGACGAAATTGGATAACTGTGATTGGGTTGACAGGCAGCCAGGCGAACAGTGGTGGGATCAGTTCGTTGCCAATTTGACTTCTGATATGATGGAAGATGTTAGTCTTCTTTTTAACACTTTCCTTTAACTTCTCAAGAATTCAGCCAAAACTATCACTTTTGTGAAAGAGTAGTAATTTTTCACCATGGTATCACCAACTAAACTAGACATGAGTATCGTGATACTGAAATATCTGCGGCTATGGGAACATGAAGTACTCTTTCATAAATAGCCGAGATGAGATACTAGTTAATTAAACTGTTTTATCAAGTCTTAGCGAAATCAACAGATTTGATTAATATTTGAAGTTGTTTTAGGTTTGTCATAAAGTGCTTGATTATTATACGATTACGAAGACTGAAAGTCGGTGATGATCTCTTTTATATGTTGTTGGAGTCATATATGACATTGACACAAAGTTTCCAGCTAAAAGGAAAGAAAGCATACACTCAGTGGATCACAGTAAATGTTAATTTTGTTTTGTAAATTTGTGCGCTGCTCTCTCACTGTGGCTAGTGATTTCTAAAGAACTGCGGGTTTTTGTACAGATTCTTCGCCTTGGAGATTGTTTATCCATATTTTTTGAATTTCATCCTAATTTTTTTATAAATAATGAAATATATTAATAATATAATAAATTTTTATTCTCATTTTGATATTTTTCATAATTTTTCTTGTCTCTTGCCAAAGGAGAGAGGCGACTGTAATGCTATACAATTTTTCAAATACGTATTGTCCGACTAAAATTGAATTGACCTCAAATTACTTCGCCTGACAAATTAAAAGAAATTGAAAAATTGAGATAAGAAATGAAACAACAACAATACGTTTGAGTGAGCCTTTCCATAGCTATAGAACACTCACTTATAAACTTGCTGGACCTTAATTTGTGCTGAGGAATATTTGTTTCACGATAGAATATCATTTCTGTCAACCTCAAATTTGGTTTTTTGTCGCCAAAAAGCCGAGTAAAACTTACTAGTTCTCAAGTGGATAAGAGTAGGAGGAGAGAAATAAGGCGGAACTTGTTGCATATCAAGAAGTGAAGAGTTAAACTTTATCATGTAACCGTTAATAAAGTACTCAGGAAGGATAAGATTACAAAGATGTGGATGACTTGTTTATGGAACAGTTCCCTGCAGGTGAAGAAGCGAAGTGTTGATTGTTTTTGTTGTTTAAACAACAGAGACTATAATATTTGGGAGCGCAAATTTTGTCTTACTAGATTTGTTTAAAAAATCGTGGACATATCATACTGTAAATCAAACCATAATAGAATGAGTGAGAAGAATACGAAAAAGATGGCAACATTTGCAGTATATGCAAGTATAGTGAGATTACTAGAACCTATGCAGAATATCCAAATACCGGTGACGAGTAGTACGCATGTCCACCCAGCAAGCCATTTCATGGATACATATCGGAAATACTCATCCTATAACATTCTCTAGTCAAACTTTTTTTTGATTTCATTAAAGTCAGTATGTAAATTTAAACCCCAATTCAAGTTTTAGTGTATGGGAATTTCCCATTCTAAGCTTCACTTTTGGTTAATTGACGAGTTACTTTTTTTTGATGTTTTTTGATGAGTTACTTTTTTCAATCAATTTTGTCAAACTTACAATTCTTCCGCGTCTTTTATATCGTTCCATGTAACATTCTCTATTCTTCAATGGGACTTTGACACGTTCCGGAAGGTTTACCAATGTTTGCTTGGCCTTATCCCAAGATCCAGGACCTTCGAGTCGATAAATATATGGTGCATTAGCACCAATTAATAATCGAAAGCAAAAACTAGGATCTGTGAATATGTACTGAAAATTAATCAGATAAAATTGAAGAAATGTATAAAAATTTCAACAATGAAATTTGGAAATTAATTTTAAGAAACGGAAACAAAATGTGTGAAAAAATATGAAATCCAGTACAAATATAACTTCAAAAATTACCTTCTTTATATTAGGCTTACAACCTATTTTTTCAGCAATTTCATCCATATATTTGATGTAATCCACTTGGATAGTATGTTTCATACTTTTGAAATACCTGTTATAAAATACAGATGTTGATTTGCTTAAGGTCAGCAGTATTACGTTTATTACAGTAAAGTTGAGTTATATCACCACATTTTACAAAATATCCATCTTGCAGATTGACAAGAAAATAGTTATCAAAAATCAGTTTAATTTATGAGTGAGCATAGCTGTAACCTTCTCTTGATTTGGACTTGTTTAAGTTTAATATCAGCCAACATATCTGCATGACGAGGTAATCTAATTTGACCACTAAATATAGCAGCAACCCATCGACATTGCATTTCAGATATTGGTAAAATACTTCCAATGGGTTGGATTAGACCGATAACAGCTAAAGAAGGATATTTCAATGGAAACACATATTTGTACAGTTCCACTTCATGATCCTGGAAAACATAGCTTGAGAGGAGAAATTACTGATTTCATAGGCTGTTTGGGAGCTAGGATGATTTAAAAAAAAAATTTTAATTCAAATTCCAATATCAACATGGTTTTTCTCTAATAACACAAGTTGAATGAGATTTGATTAGAACTATTTTTAAAGTGCTTTATTGTTGATTTGTATACAGTCCTCTAAATTGTTTGCATTGAATGATGAAAAATATTGATAAACACCTTTACTGGTATAATAAATTCTGGGCACAGAAATGGAAAACCAAATGTATAACCAGTTGCGAAAATAATCACATCAGCTGGAAATTGACGTCCTCCCTTGACTTGAATACTTCTTTCATGAATTAATTCAATATCATCCTGAACAATGAGTAATGAGATATTCGGATAAAGCAGTTCCCAAGAAAACTTGAAAAATCACCGTAATAACAATCCGTCCGCTACAGAGCAGATTAGGTAAATCATCGTTGATAGTAGGGTGCTGTTGTAGAAATCGATGATTCGGTCGAAGTCCATATAGATCATGATCCATTCGTAACTTAAACAGAAAACAATCACTAAAAACATTTTTTAAAGAACAGATAGATATAATTAAAAAAGGAAACGAAGACAGAAAGAATGTGATACATTGCGTATTTCAGTAAATTCACTCTCATCCAATACATTATTTTTTGTCGGAAAGTTCAGAATTATCCATTTGTAAAAATTTGAAGAATTAAATATTTTGGATAAAAAGAAAAAAGTGACCGCCAACTTGCCTTGACGAGCAACTAGAATTTTTGGAATTTTATTTATGTCATTATGGGTAGTTTTTAAATTTGTTCATTCATTGCAATTCATAAATTTAAGAGATCAGCTAGAAACCTGCAAACGATGTTCCATGAAATCGTTAACAACTGACCATGGCAATTTATCCATCAAATAGTTATATAAACGAGTTATCATCTTTAAATCATTAGGAATACCTCCTTGACTTACACGATTGAATATCCATGAACCACGTCGGGTGGAGACTGTTACCTAGATTAAAGTCTTTAAAATCTGAAAATTTTCAACTTAAAATATCTTTCAAAGTATTATCCATTTAGTGATTTCTAGATAATTGATGAACTGTTGTGTAGAAAATATTTCGAGCCACGATTTTAAATTCTGTGATGAATCTTGTGATTTAGAAATAGGTAAGATAACACAGCAGAACATATTAAACCAGAGGAGACTATACAACATATTTAATCAGAAGAGAAACATTTCAAATATCAAAATTTGAATGATTATTAATTTAGCTCCCACTTAAGAAACTAGAAATCTGTAAATTTCCCGCTGTATATTCACAGTAATACTAACCGACTTCGAAATACCAGATAATTCTGCAGCAATGTCAAGGGCCGAATTACCAATTCCAACAATAAAAACGTCTTTTTCTTCAAATCCCTTGTAATCACGATATTCATGGGAATGAAGGATGCGTCCTTTGAATTTTTTACTTCCTAAATAAAATTTAATCTGGTATTGTGGAACTTGAAATCCACTTGATTTCTTTCAAATGAAACCAGAAATCAAGAAATCCACTTGATTCTTTCAAACCAACACTGATAGCAAACAAAAATTATTTTTTGATGATCATATTAAAAAAAATTTCAACTAAATCTGAAAACCATTGCAGTCAGAGAATCTTGAATTTCTCAGTTGTTTAAACAAGTGATAAAAGGATTTCCAATATTTTGATATCAAAATTGTATCAATCTGTAAAACATTTAAATATTTCTCAAATAGAAGATTTTATGGAAATATAAGGATGTACCAGGTATTTGAGGATAATGTGGGATGCTATGATGTCCAGTGCATATCACTACATAATCGAATAATTTTCTATCACCATCACTTGTTTTTACTTCCCAAAAATTACCCTTTCGTGATACCTAAAAATAAAAGCTCGAGTTCCCGCAAATTTAAATACTTGGTATTCACTTAATATCCTCACATAAATTTAAATGGTTTAAATCGATTCGGGTGAAATCGGATCTGTTATTGAATTCACTCGGATATTGTTGAATAATCTTCTGAAAATTACCTGCTGTACTGCAGTATTAAAACGAATGTATTGGTATAAGTCATTCGCTTTGGCGTAGTTTTTCAAATATTCCAAAACTTTTGAATGATGCATAAAATTGTAAAAGTTAGCAGGTGGTGGGAAATCAGAATAGGCTGACATTTCTTTTGATGTATTCATCACCGTCGACTTCATCACTGTACCTCCCTCCTAAATTTGTTTTTTTAAAAAAAAAATCTTATTTTTAAAATTTCGTTGCATTGAGCTCATATCTCTCTTTCCTCCATTTTAGTTTTCACCAGCTTGTATCACTTTCTGTTTTGTTGTATATTTCTCGCCATTCTTTTATAATTCTAGTAATTCTATCAAGATGTTAATTCTATTAGAAATTAGATCGTATAATGATGAATGAAATAGCAAGTCAGCTTGCGCAAGAACGTTTTTATTTTTCTCTCCCCAGTTCCAACATTCTCGACAGATAAAGTAAATATTTGTACAATCTTTTAGCTTAACAGTAGCATAAGTTTAAGAAAGAAAAATTCTGCAACTTATTTTATCGATTCCAATTCTCCAAAATTTAGAAAAAAAACCAGAAAAATGTGGCAACAAAAATATTAAAAGCTTAATGGGTTCCTAATAAATTTTGCCGAAATTCCTTACGAAATAATTGATGCATATATTGAAGCGAACAACATAATTTTATGTTATTGAGGAATACAATAATAACTTTTATCTAGAGCCGCTTGCCTAATAATCCCATTGGCCCTGACACGAAACTGAAAAATTGTCGGATCACTAGAAATTCTCAAGAATTCAAACTCAAACTCAAACTTTTAAATCCAAATAAAGTTAAGAGCTTGAGATTAACTTACTGTTAATTCAGGTCTGTAATTCCACAAACCTCCGATATCGTTGGTACGTTCGTAGGCTATCACATCGAGGCCGACAGCGCGACACTCTTTTATGGCAGGCAAACCACTCACCCCAGTACCAATCACACAAATTCGCATCGTATAGATACAACGATTAGTATAATAGCAGCCAAAAGAGTTTCATTTGGCGGTTATAATTCTTCAAGATTCGATAATCTGGGACAAATGTCGTTTCCCTTCTCCGCCTTCCCTTTTAATCTATTCTCCTCTAGTCTTTGAGATTCAACATAAAGGTCAGTAGGCCAAGAATTAATCCACGAAAGGATGTACTTCGGAGTCGTGCACAATGAAGATTTTATGCTCTCATAAACCCTATGAGAACGAAAAATAAGGATTAAACGATCTTAGAACTCCGGTTATTTCATTGGGATTTGGAAATCTTTTCTCACTTCTTTTATAATCTTACCGATTTCCAATACTTTTAATGAGCATTAGTAAGTAACTCGCCAGAAAGAAATAAGGATCATGAAAATATTTCCCAAAAGACAGTCGTACATTCAAGTTTTTCATAAGAAATGATTTCTTCAAAATTCACGAAATCAAAGAAGATCCAGCAGAACAAGATTCAAAAATATTGTTTGAACACATATATATATATAGTATGGATATCAAAAAAGTCCCACTCCCTCAAATATGTATTATAAAATTGTAAATGCAAAACGGTTTTCAATAAAATTTATCATTTTTTTTTTAATTTATAAAAGCAATATGATCGAAATAAATACAATTCGGTATATGCCGTTACAGATTGTTGAACATGATCACATTTCAGCTACTCGACAACAGCAAAATGAATGGTTAAAAGAAAAGATAAAAGGCAAAAAATGATAAAAATTTTAGTTGAATTTGTGATCAATTACAGAAAACAATTACTGTGGAAAATAAATTCTAATGAAAAATATTCAACTGTATAAATTATACACCGACAAAATATCTCCTCAAAAAGCAGTCCGATTGAACAATGTACTGTATTTGATAGTGACATTTGACATTAATAAGGCGAGAAAAGCACGCTGAGACCATGGGCCATTCGTAAAAATTGTCGTGTAGAAAAGAAAAAGCAGCTTTTCGTTGTTGCGTAGTGTTATTAACGGCAAAAGTGATGAACAGCATATATCCATCGTTTCTTACCAAGTTGCCTAAAATTATATAATCTTTGATAATTCCTTGATAAACACAAATGATAAATTCAAAATTATGATGTCTTTCTTTCTTCGCTGTTTATACAAAATTATCATATTCCAGAGTTTCAGACTACATTCCAATGCTGCAGCAATTTGCAGGAAATGTTGTTTTAAAGTAAATATCCGTAGCAAATAAATTTTCAGCAGACATGATCATATGACCAGTAAAAAGAAGTCTCCAAAACTCACGTTGAACGCTCACTGAAATCGCCAATTTCGGGAACATAAAAAGTGAGATAACTGTAGTAAAATAAACAAAAGTAAATGCAGCAAATGATAACAATAAAGGTTTGACGCAATCAGATATGAAACTGATCCTCGAAATAAGTATAGCTATTTCATTATATGTACAAAATCCACGTTTTTTCAAACTGTCTTTTGCTATCCATGTTTCTACTTCTTCCAATAACCGTATAAATTCCACATGACTCACATTGGTGTTCCAGTGCTAAAAAATGACACTTATAATCACTTACACACAAAGAAATTTCATTAATGATCAAAATTTACATTAGCATTGATGCATAATAAGTTTAACTTCTATCGGTGATTCGAAATTTAATAGCTCCGAAAATTGCAAATAGCATATTGTATTTTCTCGGAGATGTGTTTTTCAAACAATCACATTCGAAAACAAAGATTTGGAAAACTTCAGGAAACTGTTAGAAATTAGCCCCAAAAAAAATCCCAAAAAATATGCAATTACGGTGAGTAAAAATCAGAGAGAGGAAAAGATGCTAAAGAAAACTGCTGAAAAACACACTATAGCGTCCAGAACGTTCAGTTCCACTTCATTGACTCGTTTCAAAGAAATATTGGCGAATGCAGCCCACTCGTCATTGTAAATGTATTCTCGCTGTCCAACATCCTGAAAGGATGATGAACAGTAAATTAAACAGTTTAAATCTAAGCTATGATCTGTGTAGCAAATGATAAATATTAAAAGCGATTTTACTCTAACAGATAAAAGAACAAACTGATCGATGCCAAAGTGAAAGCAAATGTTTTAAAACAAAACATTCTGATATATTTCATCATCAATTTGACGCATGTGTGGAATAAAAACTGGTGCGAAAAAAATGGAAAAAGAACAAAAATTCGTAAACAAAATCACTCACTTGGAGATATTTGCTTGCAATTATAAGCGTCGAAAGATACAATTCGCCCGGATTAGAAAATTCAAAATAAGTTTTATCAGCAGTTCGTATACGATCAAGATATACCAATGCTACTAGAAATGTACATGCATTCACGCACCCATGGCTGCAGATAAACTTTTGTAAATTTCAAAATTAAAATGGATGAATTTATTGCCTGTGTAGCTCAATCAAATAACCTCTTATCGGCGTAACATAAGAGAAACATAAGCGGTTTTATATTTCAAAATATAAATTTTTTTAACAACATATGATGAATTCCCAGCGAGGTTTTGTAAATTAAATTAAAACTCTAAGCTCACACTACGCTCCAAACAAAATTTAATGCACCGTGACATGCACCGTGATATGGACGTCGCTAAATCCATATTCATATGACAATGATCATCGAAATAATCCATTGCAAGCTCTGAAACATTTTGAAACATGGAAGTATTATTCAACTCAATACTGAATTGATTTTGGTCTTATAAGTAACTGAAAAAATTGGATTAATACTTGGTGAGATTTAAATTTCTAACTTGTAATCTCTGCTTAAGAGATATCATCTTCAATTTCGTATCTTGCATTCAATAACTTTTGCAAAAGAAAACAGGTCTTTCAGGAATGAAACATCAGTGTCTGATCAGGATGATTTATTTGACAAAACAATTGTCAAAATTTGATTGAAGTGAGGTTTCAAATTGAACGTCTCACCGGAAAGTGGAAGCGGTAATGATTTCATTTGACGACTTCCATAACAAAGCGATCTTCGCAAACGTTGCTGTAAATGTTTAAACGAAGGCGACACCGGTGACATTCTCCCAATTTAAACCGTTACAGTGAAATGAAGTGAAATAGAACAATTCAGCAAATAACAATTCTGTTCAGTTTCAAAATGATAATAGATCCAACCGAGCCAGCGCTCCCATTCGCACTATTCCTTTCAACAACGGAGAAAAGTTCGATTCTAAAGTTCTATATTCGAATTCGCGCCTCTTTTCGTTATTCATTTTGGAATGGCTCGCGAGCATATGCAGTACGGCCAGAGTATCGCTGTTTAGCCTGCAGTAAATTACACGATAGGATAGAACATGTGAATGAGCTGATAAGCAGTTGATAGGGATGAGTTGAGGATGTTTTCGGGTGTGTGCTTGTGTGTGTGTGTGTGTGTGTATGTGTGTGTGCGTGTGTGTATGGGGAGAGGGAGGGGGCGACGGGTTGCGGTTCCGTTGGTTGCTTTCCAGATGGTGCCGGTTGTTGGGTTACTGTTGAACTTTTTTTTCTCTAAATTATTGCGAAATTAGAGTGAAAATAGCATATTATTGCAATACCGATTGATTTGTTTTCGATATTACCTTTAATTGCTTATTAAATCAATTGTTTACTATTTCTCATTGATGTGGGAGTAATTTCATCTATGCTGACGCAAACATTCACGTCGTTGTTGCGTTTAGTCGATAGTTACGATTAATCTTTGATCTCTGAATGGTATCTTGTCTGTTAATGGTTATAATTTGCCTAGGTTATGATGAAATGTTGCATTGAATCTATATGAAGTAATTGGCCTATTTAGATTATTGAATTCTTAATTTCAGAAATTCCTAAGTAGTAAACATAATTGTCGTAGGAGGGGATGATAAAAAATGAGAAGATTGATAGGGACAGCGAAATAATTCGGGAACAGAAGGACAATAATTTGCTGGGCAAATTTTATTACATTAAATTGTATATGCTGCGCGTCATCTTTTCACTGTTAATTACGTGCTATTTTGAGAAAGTCCCTTGTCTTCATTGTGATCATACATTTCTTAATAATTTTTTCTACCTCTCACGCTCTTTTCCACCCTCTCACTGCTTCTGGCTTGCTTGAACAATTGTTGACAATAAATTTGCACTTTCCACTGATGTGTACGGGATTTTTTGTTGTTATGAATCCCCTTGGACTTTCTATTTCACGAAAATGATAATAATAGTATTCTCAATTCTTAGATTTTTATCTGTGCTTTTCTTTCTTTTTGAAATTATAGTGCTGTCGTCGTAGTTGATCTTTCAACTCATGTTGTTTTTTCATTCTTTCTATGCATTTCCTCCCGCAAATATTTACATCTCAATCTATTCTCCGCTTTCTGTCTTAGTATGATATTAATTCGAAATTTCATAAAGCAAGACATTTTTTTTAATTTTAAGCATCTCACAGGGTAGCGGGCGAAGTAAGCTTCGTTATGAGTGTAGAGGTCATGATTTGTGCTTTATTCATTAGGCATATTCCGTATGTGAGGAAGTATTGAGTTTTTATATTCGAAGTATTTTTTATATTTATATCGACTTTATAAATACTCCAAGATTTTTTGGAATGTTTATAAAGTTCTAAAATTTCCTGTTCTTGTTGAAGTTATGATAATTCCTTATTATTCAATTACTCGCGTTACTATTATTCCTATTATCCTCGCGTTTACTATTATTATTATTATTATTCCTCGCGTCTTTCTTATCACTGCTATTTGTCGCTGCACTTCTTGTTATCATTGGTTATTGATGTTTTTACAGTCATGCATATTCTTCGCTTGATGGTATCCACACTTCTCAAATATTTTTTTGTTGTTTTAGCAAGGGATTTCAGATTCCTGGCTCTTATTTACTATTAAATTATGTCAAAAGCTTTCATATTGATCTCTCATCGGTATCTATCCTTCTATTAAAAATTTGGACTACTGTTCTGCACTTTACTTTCTTCTTTAGTAACAGGAATAATTGTGATATGTTTGATAGGTGGCAGTTACTTGGGTTGGAATCTGATTAAATTTTAATCCTTTAACGAGAGTAGGATATTTATTATTATTCGGTGAAATGGTGCTTATTTTTGCAAGCTGTTTTTATACTTGAAGGACTGGTGTAAGCAACTGGTCATTACAAATTATGAAATGTATAACTTGATGAAACATGGAAACGTATATCTAACTTCTCGTTGGAATTTTAGATGCTTCAGCTGATAGAAAATTAATTAGTAGCACATCTTCCTTCATCCTTACATTTTCATTCTCTTAGATGTCATTAATTAGTATTTTATTATATTTATGTGTGGTATCTCGTTTCATATATCATCTTTACTTTCTTGCTTTATAAATTCTATTCCATGGCATATTTACAACTGTTAGAGATAACTTTCCAATGTATAGGAAGTTCTGTTGTTTGGTGATCGGAATTAGTTAATTTAATTTGAATCGATACGATTTTACTCGGATCGTGCGCGCAAGGGAGCTTTGAAAAATTAAAAGTTTTGCGGAAGAGGATGTTTTTGTCTTAATTTTTTTTGTATACGCCAAATATTTTAGTAATATCAAGCGGAATCGGTTAATAAAGAATCGGTTGTGATTGCGAAGTTCAGTGTCGTTAATGGACGCCGAATCGTCGGAAAGTTTCCCAGGAAATAGTGACAAGTCGGTTGACCATTCTCATGGTGACCCACAAGTTGTGGGCTTTTCGCGTGGTACTTTTTGAATTCTTTTCGCGTAGCCTCGTCGTTAAATATCTTCCCAAATTCCATTTGTCCATGAAAATTGGCTTAAAAAAGGTCTAACAGTTTGCGAAGACAATTACGAATTTAGCATAAGCAGCATATCTTATTTATAGCAAGTTCAGTTATAACTGATACGGTTACAAATGGTGAAAAAGGCATGGAACAAAAGCAGAAGGGAGGATGTGCGCAATTTTTGGCCAGCGAACACGGAGATAATCTGCATATCACTTCAGAGGTTATTGAGAATTTTTTGTTTTATTCAAGTTTCTTATACGCAATTTTTGTAAATTTTTGTAAATCTGAACATAGCAAAAATATGATTAGAATGCGTGCGTTTAATTTAGGCTTCTTCGGAACAAAGGACTGAAGGATCTGCAGAAAATGTAAGTGATGAGGAGACGTGTAAGGACGCCACTGAAGGTCAGAGAATAGAGGTTCGTTTTTGTAGTTTTCACAAAATTAGAGCGTCACAAATGAAAGCTGTAATGACTTAGAAATGGAAGTAACGACTAAGATGCAAAGTATATGTTGTTAAGGGTATAGGATTAAAATATGACCGTATCTCTGTCGAAAAAAATTTTTATGTTGATTAATGCTTATTGCGTTCAATACAACTTAGAAGAAGATATTTTAAGGTGTAGTGAGCGGGACAAACACTAATATGCAACCAGATGTAAAGTTCAAAAGTAGTTAAATATTAAAAATATAAAATAACATGTGTTTAGGGAGATTATTTTCAGCTGAAAGAAGGATCAAGCGAAAATACTAGCGAAGCACTTGAATCGGAAAAACATGACAGCGTTGCGGCTTCTGCTGGCTCATCTCCTCCACCAGTAAATTAAAACTCTCTCGTTTAATTTGCTCTTAATTTAGCTACTTTGAAAGTTTTAACGTAGAAAATATAACGGTACTCTCAATCACAAGTGTAACCATGTGCTATTATCGCTTTATATAACATAGAAGTTTTGCATATTTGTCGTCCGCTTCTGTTTCCTTTATCACTGCAGCAACTCGATAAATTCAGAGGCAGATAAATTCGGAGGCTAAATTATAGACCTTGATCTTTCTTAACAGGACAGAGATTTCTTTGTATGATTATTTTCTATTGTATTATAAGGTTTCGAGCCCTTAACACATGAAATATTAGTTTTCGGCAAAGGAGTTTTTTCTTTGCATGACTGCTTGTCATGTTGTGATAGTTCCAAGCTTGTGCTTCTTTGATATTAAGGTTTATATGATCTCATTTTGAAACATGCTCTTTTTACAGAGCAGTGCTGCTCCAGACGAACTGCACCTTGATACAGACACAAAGAGTAATTCGGAAGAAGGTGATCATAAAGAGGCGAGTGAGATCAAAAATGATTCTGATAAAGAAGTCGATGGTTCAAAGACTGATGGTGATGGTGATGATAAAACGGATACGGAGGAAGGAGAAGGCGAAGAGCAGAAAAAGAAAAAGATGGAAGATATAGATGTTTCAGACAAAGCTGAAAATAAAGTAATTGATACAACTGACAAAAAAGAGGAGGTAAGTAGTACTTCGGAGACAAATGATTTAATTTGGAATAGACTACATTTGTTACTGGGTAATTATTCAAGAAGTTTTATCTATTTAAAATGTATCGTTAAGTGTTGAAGAATTTCAGGGAAGTGCGAAACGTGTTTTGCCGAAATGGATGGTGCAGGATGCAGATGCGCCTCCAAGCCCAAAAGAAGAGGCGGATGAAAAAGATGTGGCTGTAGCTGTCACAGAAAATGAACCGGCTAGTGGTGTTCGAGGACGAGGACGTGGCAGGAAAGGGCGTGATACGATGCGAGCAGTAGCTAAACCGCATAATGTACGTAAAAACTTAGTTGAGGGGATGAAGTTCGTCAGCTGACAAACGCATTTAAAAGCTGTAATGTTGAGAACCTTTTCTTTACTTAATTGTTTGACGCAATTCAAATTTTTAAAATGACCTGCGATTCGTTGTAAATTTACACATCTCATCAGGAGTGACTTCCAAGTTAAATTAAGAAATTTGCTGATTATTGTTACTTGGAACAATCTGTTCATCTTGTTGCGGGAGAATGATTATAAAATTTAGGAAACTGCTACCGAACAGCGGCAGCCGGAATCATTGGCATCTGGTCGCCCTCGTCGTTCGACACGGTCAAATGTGGACTATGCTCATCCAGATGTTGCAACTGTAGTTGCTGAGCAAGAAGATTTGGAAAATGAGGTTTTGTGCTAGGAAATTATGAATTTTTTTGTAATTTTTTAGCATATAGAGTTCTACAGCTTCTATCTTTTGTTGTAGGTAGTTTTTCTTTGTGTATTCTGGAAGA